ATGCATGCATGCATTTTTCCCAACAAATATTTGTGGTGCTCCTATTATGTACCACTGAAAGTGCTTTGTCGGTATTCAGGAGTGGCAAGAATGAGCCACACGGCAACCTGAAAATGGATGCCGGTTTTCTTGTCAGTTGGAGTGAAATGAGTCGATAACAGTTTGCACATAATAAGTTTTTAATGTGCTCAGCATGTGTTCCAAATAGAATTATCAAGAAATGACAAGCTTCCCTTTTCCACCCACATTGCAGAACTAGATATGGGCATCTGAGTGGTAAGTTAACCATTTGTGATTTTGTTTCCAAAGATATGTACTGTGTTTCAAAAATCTTTGGAGGAATAACTGCAAGGAGACCCAGAGTCTGGAACAGTGGGAACTGATATCTTGGGCTTGAAGGAAGCAGAGGGAAAGTACACCCACTGCTTAGAACTCTGCCCTTCGACTGTTAGAGAGAGGGCAGTGATGTGTGCCTGGAGCGGGGGCGGGGGGGGGGGGGGGGGCGCGGAAAAACCCCCGCCCCCCCCAAGGAGGAAAAGGGGGTCCCGGGGGCATAAAAAAAAGGGGCCCTGAAACCGATTTTGTGGAAAATATCCCGGTATTTTCCCACTTTTTAGGGTTGTAGCCTCATGGCCAAGCTCCCAAGGCAGAGGTGAGGTTCTGAAGCCCCCTGCCTCGGAGAGCTGGCTGAAATTCCTGGCTTCTGAGCAGTCTTTTCTACCGAATGTTGACCAAGAGAGAGGGCTTGAGTTTTCTTGGGATGTTGGGACTCAGGTGACCAACTCATCCAGGTTTGCCGAGGACTTTCCTGACTTCAGCACTGCAAGTCCTGTGTCCTGGAAACCCCTTCGCTCCCAGGCAGACTGGAATGAATAATCATCCTAAGGAAATAAGAGACAAGTGAAGAGACTTGGTGTTTCAGTAACAAACCACCAGAAAAGTTAGCGGCTTAAAACAACTACCATTTTATTTGCTCAGCATTTTGCACTCCCGGCTGGGGTCAGCTGGGCAGGTTTTCTGCTCGTCTTCTTCAAGATTATTTGTATGGCTGCATTCAGCGAGTGGGTCGGCTGGAGGCTGGGCTCAGCTGGGATGCAGAGGCGTGTGGGCCATGTCCCCTGTCCAGGTAACCTCAGGGCCTCTTCCTTGCCAAGTGCCTCTCCAAGGGGCTTTTATAGCAGGGAAGCTGAATTCCTACATGGAGGCCCAGGGCTCTTCGGAGTGCGAAACCTGCTTGCCTTCTTAGGCTTAGGCCTGCAACTGGCACAGCATAAGTCCACCATATCTTATTGGTCAAGCCGGTCACGGTGCCATTCTAAAATCAAAGCGGGGGACTACACACGGTGTGAATGCCAAGGGGCAGTTCATAGGGGGCTACCAATGTAACAGTCTGTTCCAGAGGTGCAGGTGCTCACATGGACTCCCAGGGGCCTGATTCACCCTAACCTGTTTGCTAGGAAACCTTCCTTGCTCTCCTTATACTCTGAGAGAGAACAGAATATGAATAGCTTGACTATTTTTTAAATATATATTTTTTATTGATTTCAGAGAGGAAGCGAGAAGGAGAGAGAGAAACATCAGTGATGAGAGAGAATCATTGATCGGCTACCTCCTGCACACCCCCCATTGGGGACTGAAACACAACTGGGCATGTGCCCTGACCGCGAATCTAACCGTGACCCCCGGGTTCATAGGTAGACGTCGATCACTGAGCCACGCCGGCGGGGCACGAATAGCTTGACTATTTATCAGAGCCTCCAAGAGCTCTAGGTAGGTGGAGGACAAGTTTATCCCCACCATTCCTACGTCTGCTAAGCAGAGAGAGGATGGTACATCTCTTTTAGGTTTCTAGAAGGTTTGCAAGAAGCAACAGGTTAGGAGGCCTAGGTTTACAATGCTGATGCTCGGCACTAAAGGACCTGACTCCTGACTCTTCCCTTCACTGCAGCACGTGGTGGGAGTGGGTGCCAGGCTCTCTGCTCAGGGCAGGGATTACAGAGTCCCCTGCCCACGCAGGCCCCACGTCTTGTCTTAAGGTTTAAATGGGTGCCAGCTGTGGTCCTCCCTCCGTCCCCTCTACCTGCCTCTCCACTGCAGCTCTGGCCCCTGCACTGACCTGTTTCCCAGCAGCTCCCTGAGCAGTGCGCCTCCCTGGCAGGCGAGGTCCAGCCCTTCTTCCTGAACGCACGGGAGGTGAGGGTGCGCTCTGCGGCCAGGGTGGCCCAGCTGGCACTCCTGGGAGACCCGCCCAGCCCCCTGCACTTCAGGGCAGCTCCAATCCTGCTGGCTCCCAGGCTCCCACATCCCCCAGCCTTTCCCTTTCCCCCTTTTTTTTTTTTTTTTTTTTGGCTTGGAGAGAATTGGACCCCTTCCCACCGCCCCCCTACACAAACTCCGCCTTCAAGGCATCCCTGAGCTGCCCAGGCTCTGGGTCCGTTGCTGGCTTCACCCTCTTTCTCTTCCGGGCCCCCTCCTCCATCACGGAGGCACTATCTGGTCGCTCTGACTTCGGAGCCCTTCCCCTGTGTCTCCCCACCCTGCCTGGTGCTGCCTCCAGTCCCAGCGCATCCCGCCTGGGCGCTGTCGCTTTAAGCCGGTTCCCCGCCGCCGCGCCGCTCCCTTGCCGCTTCGGGAGCTCCCGCCGCCTCTCCCGCCGCCGCTCCCGCTCCTCCTCCTCTCGCGCTGCTCCTCACCCTCCTCCTCCGCCTCCTCCGCCTCCTTCGCCTCCTCCTCGCCGCCGCAGCCACCCCGCGCCCGCTCGGCTCCTCGCAGCCTCCGTGCACCGCAGCCATGGCCGACATGAAGACGGGCATTTTCGCCAAGAACGTCCAGAAACGAATCAACCGCGCGCAGGAAAAGGTCAGAGACAGGCGGCGGTGCAGGTGGCGGGACGGGCGGCGAGGGCCTCGGGGGGCCCGGGGAGCGCCGGGGGCAGGCGGCGGGGCAGGGCCGGCGGGGGGGCCGCGGGGGACGCCCCTGCCCTGCGCCGCGGGGACTGCAGCAGCGGGGCGCCGCCGGAGGGCTGCGGGGGGAAGGCGGACTCCAGGGGGGGAACTTCAGGGGGGGCCCCGACCCCGGGCCCCCGGGGGCCCGGGGTCGTGCCCAAGCCCCTAGTCTCCCCCCCCCCCCCGGGGGGATGGAGAAGCTCAAGCCGCGCCTAGAGGCTGTCCCCCCGGCGCCCCG